AGACCCAGAGGTGTGGTCCCTGGCAGGGGTGGGAAAGGCTGGGGTGGGGGGTGCTGCCTCGGCCCGTTCCCGTGTGGCTGCCCAGCCAGGGCTACAGGTTCTGCCTCTGCCCATCCACATGCCCAGCGGGCTGCCCTGGGGCTCAGCGTAGCCTCTTCCTTCCATGTCCTGGCACATTTCTCTGCGAATGACCCTGTGTCTCCCTGTCTCTTCTGTCTGTCCTCCTCCCTTTTTGGTCCGCTTGTCCCTCCGCCTGACTTTCTGGGTCTGCATCTCTGTCTTGGTCGGTTCCTGGGTGCAGATCTTGGGTCCTGGGTCCATCAGGAGCAGGTGTGGTGGTCCACAGCCCCCCAGCGACCCGTGACACTCAGCCTTGTGCCCACAGGTTCCGCAGGAAGATGGAGGCTGCTGGCTTCACCATCTCGGGAGCCAACCACCCCATCTGCCCTGTGATGCTGGGTGATGCCCGGCTGGCCTCCCGCATGGCGGACGACATGCTGAAGAGGGGTAAGGAGGCCCGGACAAAGGGACTGGCTGTGCGGCCTGAGAGAAAGCAGTGGGGAACCCCTAGTCTGCGAATACTCCCCCTTATTGCTCCTCTACTACTCTTTTTATTTCATTTTATCTTTCTTAAGTTTTTAAAGCCAGAATTTATTTCCATTTAAAAATGCTCAAGAGACATTTAAAAGGCCCCAAGATGTCCCAGGTTACTATAAGATCACACTGAGGCCGCCGTGTCTTTCGGTTCCTGCATTACTAAGGTGTTCACTTGACCCTTGTTAATGCAGCACCCCGGTAGTTCTTCCAGCTGGGTCGTGGTGACTTCCTCTAACTCCCAGTATCCTTCATAAACGGCCAGCAGCTTATGAACGATGAGAAACGTAAACCAGAAGTAATCACGAAACGTCTGCAGCTCCCACTTAATATCCTTTCTGCCTTATTCTTCGAAGCTGGGCCCCACGGCGGTCACTTTGAGTGGCGGGGCTCCTGAGGAACGTCCTCTGCAAAGACTGGTGTTAAATGCAGCTCTTTCAGAGCAGAAACCAGCACACACCCTTCAAGACAAAACAACCCCCACCACCACTGCCCTTTTTAGACCAGCTGTCCATGCTGAGAGACCCGGGCCTCGAGGCAGTCAGTGTCTGAGAGATCACCCATGTCTGGGAGGCCACGGGCAGCCTCCGTGACCCTAAGGAAGTGGGGGCTGTGTGTCATGCCCAAAGCCCACTTGGCTCCGATGGTCCCCGGGTTGACCCTCTGTACCTCCCCAGGCATCTTCGTCATCGGGTTCAGCTACCCCGTGGTCCCCAAGGGCAAGGCCCGGATCCGGGTGCAGATCTCAGCGGTGCACAGCGAGGAGGACATCGACCGCTGCGTGGAGGCCTTCGTGGAGGTGGGGCGGCTGCACGGGGCATTGCCCTGAGCCCTGGATGGTGGCAGGCAGAGCCAAGGTCCCCCCTCTCCCCACGGCGACACAGGGGGCCTTTGATCATCGGCCCAGGCCAGAGGCTCTGGGCCCTGTCAGAGTCCTACGGCTGGGCTGGGGGAAGGCCTATGCCCGTGACCGTGAACGTGAAACAACTGTGGAAATTGGCTGTGACGCGTTGCTTTATTCTCTCTGAGCAGTTGGCCTGCTCTGTGATGGGCTGAAAAAGCTGGCCGGAGCTGCGGCCATGTGGGCAGGCTCCCAAAAGCTATAGTGGACCTTGGAGCTGACTCTCTCCTCCAAATGAAGATGAGACCCAGGCTGCAGGGCTGGTACAGCAGGGCCGCCGTCTGGCTCTGCTGGAGTCTGTGCTGCCGCAGAGGGAGCGGAGCGCCTGCTCTGCGGCCCTGCCCCTCACCACCCCACCCCGACCCTGCTGCCTGCAGAGTCTAGGCTGGTGAACGCCTTGTCCCCTGCTTCTGAACCAAAGGATGGTCTACAGCTGCCCAGATAAGGAGGGGCTGGGCACCCGTACCTGTGTTTGGAGGAGAGGCAGAGGGTTCAGACCCCAAAGGAAAGTGTGGGTCCCTCTTGGAGAGGCCCCTGCCAGTCTGGAAACCTGTGCTCTATCCCACTTTGTCCCTAACTCTGTGGCCACCCCTAGTGTGTGCCTCAGCGTGTGCCACGCTGTACCAAGCGTGGATGTTTTCCTCACAGCCAGCCACCAGGGGGCGCAGCGAGCTCAGGCTCTGGCTGCTCCGGCTGCTCCGGCCCCACCCCTCCAGACTTTTGGCCTTGGACTCAGCCATTGGAGCAGCTCTGCCGCCCTAGCTGCCAGGCCGATTGGCTGCTGTGAAAGCCCCATCCACCCTTGTCCTCCACAACGACTTGCTGCGCCTCCACTGCAGGTGGCGACCCCCTTCCCACAGTCGCTTCCCCTAGCCCTTCTCCACCACCCTCCTCACTCAGTCTTACAGGCACCAGGTGGGGGTAGGGGGCGGCTTCTGAGTCACCATAGCCCCAGCCTCAGCAGAGTGGCCTTGGGGAGCTCTCACAGTTTGCTGGGGGGAGAGCAGGGAGGATGAAAAAGGCCCTTATTAACCACGGGGAACTGGGACAAGGTCTCCAGCGCCCGTCTCCCCAGCCCTCCCCCTTCCCTGGGAGTCTTGGGTGAACAATCTGGTTGAGCTCCAGCCCGATCCTGCAGATGAAAAAGATTTTATTTTCAGAGGGAGGGGGAGGGAGGGGGAGAAACGGGGAGAAACATTGATGCGTGAGGTTTCATCTCCAATGCCCCAACCTGGGACCTCACCCGCAACCCAGCATGTGCCCTGACCAGAATCGAACCCGCGGCCTCTCAGCCTGCGGGATGAGGGCCAGGCCCCCCTGAGCCACACCAGTCAGGGCCAGTCCCACAGGATCTGGCCTCTGGGACTCTGGACGTCCTCGCCTGTGATCTGGAAGAACTCAAGGCTGGGGGCCGGGAGCCCAGGGTGCTGGCGGATGCTGCCGGGGGGAGGGGGCTGCTGCAGCCACGTCAGGAACACTTGCATGTAGCCACCGCCGAGGTGGGGCCCCCAGTGCCGGGCACACAGCCGGACACCAGTGCCGAGCTCAGCGAGCAACTGATGGGTGCAGCCAGTGCACCTCACCCAGCGGAGCCAGAGCACCTGGCCCAGGCCCGCCAGGCAGAGGCGCAGAGTGCGCCACCGCAGGCATAGCACTCCCCAGTGCTATGGGGCAGCGGCAGCGACGAGACCTCCCGTGCCTGGCTGTGGTAGTGCCCTGCATGGTAGTAGACCAGGTATGGATCGGTGCTGGCCCTGGTCCACCGCCAACCAGCAGGGGTCGTAGGAGGTGCTGGGCAGCAGCAGCAGTCCCGGCTGCACACGCTTGGGCTTGGGCACGGGCACAAACTGATAGCCGTCGATACCCAAGACAGACTCGAGGGCTGACCATGGATCAGCTGCACTTCTGCGTAACTGTGGGACCAGGGGCTGGGGGTACTGTTCTCAGGGCGCACAATCCACATCTCCCGAGTGGGGCACAGGGTTCAAGCCCTGACCACCGGGAGCAGCATTTGGAGCAAAGGGAGGAGGTGGTCCCCGGGGCGTGCTGGCACTGGGGCATAACACACACACCTTTCTGCCCGCCCCACAGTTGGGCCCTCTGGGGTCACCCCCTTCCCTGTGCATCTGCTCCCGGAGGTTCCTCGAGTACTGCCAGGACCCAGCCACGGGCCAGGAGGGGCCTCTTGGGCTGGGGCCCCCACGGGGAGGTAGGACAGCACGTCAGAGACCTCAAAGGCGTTCGGGGTGCAGGCGTGACACGTTCGTGTGTCTGGGCTTCTGGCAGTCTGCCGGTGTATAGCTTTCACAAAGGGCAGACCTCCATCAATGAATCTGAAATCCCACCACGCCGATCACTCTGCCTTTCAGTGACCGTGAGATTCTGTCGTCTAATTCTCTGATTCCTCCACCCAAGCTGATAGCTCTGAATTCAGATTCGGAGAGTCTGGATATGGGCCCTCATATCTTCAATCCAGGGAGTCTCTGTTCCCAAAATGGAGCATGCGCTGCGCCTGGGGTGGGTGACACCAGGCTCCAGAGGAGCGCTTCTGCACGCCGCCGGCAGTGGTCCCAGGGGCCTGCGAGGGGCCGGCACGGGAGAGTTCGCTGGGTCCTCCGGCCTCGGGTGCGAGTCTTGGCTTCATCGGCGCCCCCTCAACTGTTTTCACTTCCCCAGACTTCCCCTTTGACGTTCTTCCCACCCTCCCAGCTTCCAGAAGGACTCCCCAGGCAGTCCCCAGCACCTCTTCTCCCCCGGACTCCTTGCAGTCTGTCTTCTGCCCCCTCGGCATGCGTTGCTAAATGCAGTGCACCTGGCCACCTGGGTGTTCGAGTCCAACCCTTCAGCTGTGTGGTCCACTCCCCCAGGTGCTCAGGTCAGAACGCCCTGATCGAATCAGCCGTCCACCGACGGCTCTCTGGCTGTTGCCTGGAAAAGAGGCTTCTGACGGTCACTCATGACATCGGTCCACCCCAAGCCATAATAAACTAATTCCAAAATAAATGGGCAGGTCCTGTCTCTGCTCCAGAACATGCACTAGCTCCCCATTGCCCTCGGTCTAAAGCCAGATTCTTTGGGTGGGTTTAGAAGCTCTCTGTTGTCCAGCCGGACTGAAGCCCTGGGCAAAGCTGATGGGTCTCAGGGCCTTGGGGTGGGGGGTGCTATATAAAAAGTCTGCAGAAAAAGGACTCATATCCTGGTTTCCTAGCCTGGGGCACCCCATTCAAGGCTAGCAATCCTTTCTTTAAAAAAAATAATAAAATGTCTTATTTTTAGAGAGGAGAAGGGAGGGAGAGAAACATCAGTGTGTAAGAGTTACATTGGATCAGTTGCCTCTCGCATGTCCCCAGTTAGGGACCTGACCCACAACCCAGGCACGTGCCCTGACTGGGAATTGAACCGGCAACCTTTCAGTTCACAGGCCGGCACTCAATCCACTGAGCCACACCAGCCAGGGCTAGGCACCCTCTCTGGATTGGGATTGGAGCAGGAGAGGGAAGGATGGGCAGGGCCACAGGAGGTGGGAGTGCCCAGGATGGGGTGGGCCCTGGGCACGGACGGGTTAACTACAAAGCGAATCTCGGGGAGATCAATGGGTTACTCACTGCAGAAAGAGGCAGCAGCAACGCAGAGAGGCAGAGAAGGGGCGGGCAGAAGAGCGTGCCACCTGGGGGAAGTCAGGGACTGAGGAGGAGGTGGCCAGTGGGCGCTCTGGAGGGACTGCCCGAGTCTGGCCCCGCGGAGGAGGGGCCTTAAAGGAGACGAGGGGGAAGTGAGAGGCGGACCTGCGGGGAGCCACCGCGGGGCGGCCGCTGAGCCCGGAGGCAGCCTCAGCCTGACGGTTCGCCCAGGACTGAGCAGGGGGCCCGGTGCCCAGGACTGAGGTGGGTGCTGCCCACCTTGCACTTGGGAGGGTCTCTGCGCGCTGGGGGCGGGGGGAGGGGAGCAGATGAATCTTTCCTTCCCTCTACCCTGCCTGACCCCCTCGCCCTGAACTCCTCCCACCAGCCTAGAGGTCCCAGGCTTCGGGGGACCCACAGGTGGGTAGCGGAGGTGGGCTGTGGGGTGGGGCAGGCATGAGGGTGGTCGCAGCTTTCACAGGGGCACGCACGCACGCACGCAGCTTCACACAGCACCACCTGTTACACGGGCTCTCAGGTGAGGACTCCCGCCGGGAGCCCGGGTGCCAGGGCGGCAATGGCCCCGGTCTGCCGCTCCGAGGGTGGTCTTCAGCCTCCCACGTCCCCTCTCTGAGCCTCCATTCCCTCCCAAGTGCAAAAAGGGGCCAGAGAGTGACCTATACGGTTTCCAGCTGTGCTGCTGCGGGGCTCTCCCTAAGCTGGACTCTCCAATGACAGAGAAGTGTCCCCCTCGTTTTGCCGACTTGGACCCCTGCCCGAGAGTCTTCCCTGAGCTTCAGACCCTCATTGAGAAGAAAACGTACCCGCTCCTGAGGTCGGAGTGCCCCTCCCCTCACCCACCACCAGGTCCTCACCCAACTCTGCCTGTGTTTTCACCTGCATCCCTGGTTGGAGGTGCATCACCTCCCTAACCAGCCCTCACACTCCACACTATGGGGGGGTCCCCTGGGAAACTGAGAAACCCCCCTCAGACAGCACTGTGACCGCGCCTGCAGCTTGCACAGTAGGTCTCGGTGATAAGTTCCGGCTCTGCCGCCTCCTCCCACCCCTAGTAGCTTCTAGCCCAGGAGACCTAGCTGGGCCGGGCCACAGCCAAGGGAACTGGGTCCTGGGGTCCAGGGACCAGGGCTGGGAGGCCCTGCCTGAGAACCCCAGCTTTTGTCCTCCCCAGGTGGCCGTCTGTGGGAGAGATGGCTGATGCCCAGAACGTGTCCCTAGACAGCCCAGGGAACGTGGGGGCCGTGGCGGTGCCCGTGGTCTTCGCCCTCATCTTCCTGCTGGGCACAGTGGGCAACGGGCTGGTGCTGGCGGTGATGCTGCGGCCCGGGCCGAGCGCCTGGCGGGAGCCGGGCAGCACGACAGATCTGTTCATTCTCAACCTGGCCGTGGCCGACCTCTGCTTCATCCTGTGCTGCGTGCCCTTCCAGGCCGCCATCTACACGCTGGACGCCTGGCTCTTCGGGGCCCTCGTCTGCAAGGCCGTGCACCTGCTCATCTATCTCACCATGTACGCCAGCAGCTTCACGCTGGCCGCCGTCTCAGTGGACAGGTGCGCTGTGCCCGGGACCCAGCGGGGTCCGGGCTGGGGAGGGAGGAGCTGAACAGATGATGCTCAGTGGCCTTAGGAAAGAAGGGGGGATGGCAAAGGGCGATGAGAGAGGGGAGAGGAACAGCTCTGCGGCCACCATCCTCCAGTCTCTGGACGCCTGCAAGGGTGCGTTTGAGGGACCACCCTGCCCTCCCCCCAGCTCCACTTGAGCTTCCCCAAAACATCTCTGTGTCTCCAGGGTGGGCACAGGGCCTGGAACACGGAGGGTGCTCGAGAGTCGGAACTGAATGGCAAACGCACACACTAACGCATTCAGGCACTTTATCACCGCCCACTCGAGGCCCAGGCTGCCGTCACACCTGCTTTTGTGGCTTGAATCCAGGCTCGCTCTCTAGCTCTAACCTCCGCCAAGCCATTTTTTCTCTGTGCTTTCAGGCACCGCTCTAAGCGCTTTGCCCTTAGCCCCCTGAGTCACCACCACCTGGGAAACAGGTCTAGTGGGCACCCTCACAGCTGGGATCAAGGCCGCCAGCCCCCAGGTCCCCATGTTGCGTGGGGGCGCGGATGCGGGCTGCCAGTCACCCGCCCGCCGCGCTCACCCCGCGCCCACCCGCAGGTACCTGGCTGTGCGGCACCCACTGCGCTCGCGGGCCTTGCGCACCCCGCGCAACGCCCGCGCCGCCGTGGGCCTGGTCTGGCTGCTGGCGGCGCTCTTCTCGGCGCCGTACCTCAGCTACTACGGCACGGTGCGCTACGGCGCGCTGGAGCTCTGCGTGCCCGCCTGGGAGGACGCGCGCCGGCGCGCCCTGGACGTGGCCACCTTCGCCGTGGGCTACCTGCTGCCGGTGGCCGTGGTGAGCCTGGCCTACGCGCGCACGCTGCGCTTCCTGTGGGCGGCCGTGGGCCCCGCGGGCGTGGCGGCGGCCGAGGCCAGGCGCAGGGCCACGGGGCGCGCGGGGCGCGCCATGCTGGTGGTGGCGGCGCTCTACGCGCTCTGCTGGGGTCCGCACCACGCGCTCATCCTCTGCTTCTGGTACGGCCGCTTCGCCTTCAGCCCGGCCACCTACGCCTGTCGCCTGGCCTCGCACTGCCTTGCCTACGCCAACTCCTGCCTCAACCCTCTGGTCTACGCGCTCGCCTCGCGCCACTTCCGCGCGCGCCTCCGCCGCCTGTGGCCCTCTGGCCGCCGCCACCGCGCCTGCTGCCCCTTTAGCGGCCGCCGCACCGTCCGTCGCATTCGCCCGGCGTCCTCGGGTCCTGTTGGCCGTCCCGGGGTCGCCCGGCCTCCAGGGAGGCTGCCGGCGGGGGGCGGCTGGGGCGGGGAGCCCGGGGAGGAGGCTGCTGGTGGCAGAGAGGCTGGACCGGCCCTGTCTGCTGGAGGACCGAAATAAACCTTGTCCACCTCCACCCTCCTGTGTGTCCTCCGTCATTCCCTTGCCCCAAGGGCCAGACGCTTCTAGGGGATGGGGCGGAAGCCAGAAGCCCTGTGAGGAGGTCCCCTGGGCCGCGGCCCCAGCCCGGGGACACCCCCAGGCGGTGAAAAGGGGTGGGTGCAGCTCAGAGCAGCTCCCCAGACGGGCAGGCCCCAGACAGTGTCCCTAACTGGTCCGGCAGGAGCGCAGGCCCTCTGCCCATCCCCCCAACTCCATCCGTAGCGTCTAAGCCCCGCTTCCTCCCCGAGCCTTCACCAAGGGGCTTCACCAAGTCCTCCGAGTCCTGTTCTGGGCCGTTTGATTCCGGCAGCTAACGTGGCAAATATCCGTTAAGCAGTTACTATGGATCTTACGTGGAGCTAGATTCTTCGGTCCAATGATCAGAGCAGCTCTGCAAGGTCCGCGTAACGCGCTCCGTTTCACAGATGAGGAAGTCAAGAATCGGAGAGGGTTCATGATTTGCCTAAGGCAGCGATTTTCCCCCTTTTTTCATCTCATAGCCCACAAATTACTAAAATTTTGCAGCACACTAAAAAAAATATTTTTGCTGCTCTGACAAAAAAAAAGTAGGGATAACTGATTCATTCATACTAGATGGCTGTTGTTGTGTTGGCTGTTGGCAGGTCTTGTTTTTTGTTTTGTTTGGTTTTGACAATACAAAGGAAAAGAGGTCAGTGCCCCTGACTAAATAATGGTCAGGTATTGCATGCGTGCTTTAGAAATTCTTGCAGCCCGCCATGCAAATGGCTGGCCTAAAGTCGAGCAGTGTTTGGCAGAGGCTGGATTCAAACCCACGGCAGTCCAACTTCTCTGTGGAACCCCGGCCTCCGCCTCCGAGGCCGCTGCTGCGGGTCTCCATGGTCTCCGAGGTGTTCCTGTGGCTCTTCCTGATCCCGCATCAGCCCCTTCCCCGAACCTGCAGCTCCCCCCACCCCAGTCGGACGCCTTGGAGACCTTGGAGCGCTCCCAGTCCTCTTCCTCGGGAGAGTTCTGTTCGGATGCTCGGGCCAGCAGGTCCTGACGGGCTTCGGACCGCCAGCCGTCGCCTGGCCCAAATCCCCGCGTCAGTCCTCGGCTGTGCAGCCCCCCTGGCTCGGGAGAGGCACGGAGCCACGCTCGGGGCCCAGCTGGCCGCCTGGCAGCCGTGGCTGCTCTGCAGAGCCCCCCTTCCCTGTTCCTGCTCACAGCTGGGGTCGTCTTTGGCTGCGGAAACCTCCCAATTAACCAATAAATCAGTTTAAGTGGTTGCAGAGCCGACCGCTTCCTCCCCCTGCCCCCCTCACCACACACCACTAACGCTCATCAGCTTCTGGTCGGGGCCTGAGACCTGTCGGCTTCCGTGTCTCCCCAGCACGCCTGCAGGCTGCTGGGCACCCTAGGAGGGCCCCTCCCTGACAGAGGCAGCTGCTGAGTCCTGGTCACTGCCTGCCACCTGCCACCTGCCACAGACCCTGGGGTCAGAGCGGCAGTCACCCTCACGGGAGGAGGCTGAGACCCAGCTGGGGGAGCCACTGCTTGAGGGGCCCTGCACAGCACGCCTCTGCCAAGGTGTGCACGGCTGACTCGGGCCACAGCCGTGGGGCTGCTTCCGGAGGGCCGCAGGGGTGATACCCAGGGGTACCCGGCGTGGCCTCTATCTCCCTGTGGCCTTACTCACACCTCCGCCAGCTCATGCGGGCCTCGCACCAACCCTGGCAGGCAGGCAGGGACTCTCACCTCCATTCTCAGAGGCAAAAGCTGAGGTTCAAGCAGGTGAGGTAGCTTGACCAGAGCCAAGTGGCCATTCGCGGCAGAGCTGGTACCCTGACAGGGCCCGGGGTGGCTCAAGGGGCGGCCCAGGCTGCGTCTCGAAAACATCCCAGCGCATCTGACAAAGTCCGCCACACGAGGGTGGGGAGTGCCTACAGAGTGACAGAAGGGAACGCAATCTCCCAGCTGGGCCACTGCTGCTCCTCCACAGTCACCTCTGTAGGCACGGACAGGGGACCCGCTGGGGACAGCCTCCATGTAGGACAGGCAGAGCCCAAGCCTGCACGGAACCCCAGGCCCCCGGGGCGGGGGAGGGGCCCTGCTCAGCCGGCAGACAGCTGTCCAGGCCCGGGCGTGGAGGCCTCCTCTGCTAGCAGGGCTGGCTGGGCCATCGGAGCCAAATAAAGAAGCCAGAGGCCCCGGTCAAAGGGGGGCAGTACGGCCTGGCCCAGAGTAGACGCACAGATACTTGATACATGAGGACAGAGGTGCCAGAGAAGGAAGGACATTACCTGTCCCGCCTTCTTTCCTTACGCCCCAAACATCTGGGCGCCTGCCCTAGGCAAGGCCGACCGGGGAAGACAGAGTCCGCGTGGGTCCGACCTGGCCTCTCCCTCCCAGCGGCTCTCAGCCTGGCTGGAGGGCCGGACGCCAAACGAACGGACAGCACCGTGGGATGGGCCATAACAGAACATGCGCAGTTCTGAAGGGGCACAGAGGCGGGCACTCCTGCCTTCCTGGGCCATCCAGGCAGGAGTCCCAGAGAAGGAAACGATTCAAACCCATTCTGGGAAAAGGTAGGGAGTCTGCAAGGTAGAGCAGCCAGGGTGGGGCACAAGTAGGAGCAAGAATCGGCCCACGTCACGGAAGCAGGTGGGGCCCAGGGAGGCCGGGAGGGTGGGCGCCGGGAGGTCGCCAGGGCCCTGGGGCTGCAGCGCCCTGGGGCTGGGTGGGACTGGCAGCTGGCAGCGAGCAGCTCCGAGGGCCTGGCCTGGGGCTGGGAAATGACTTTTCCTGGGGGTTGGGCAGGAAGATTGAGGGCGGGCTGCTGGGCAAGGCTCAGCCCCAGAGATGCCCGGGTCTGCCTCGGGGGGCTAACGAAACGCCCGGGAGAGCAGATGGTCTCCGTACAGCAGGTTCTCGAACGATGTCTTTCCCTTTGATGTCCTGTCGCTAGGATGTTGGTGAGGAGGCGCCGTGGGAACGCAACTCCAGTTTGTGTGTCAGCCTGCCACCAAACTGATTTCACGGCACGTCGTTTCGCTTCAAGCCACAGCACCTGCGGATGACGCTCAGCGAGAACTCGCGGCACTTCGGTTCGGAGAGAGCCGTGAGTCCTGCAGGACCAGAGGCAGGCAAGGGGGCGCTGGGGGCCGAGTAACGGCCGCCCCGAATGAGCGCCGTCTGCTGCCCCCAGGGCCCAGGAGACGCCACCTGGCCGCACGCAGCCCCCTGCGAGGCTGGGGAAGGAACCCCGTTAGTTGGAGGGAGAGTTGGCTTCTGCCTCCCTGTCATCCTCCTCGTTTGTGCAAACCTCTCAGGGATGGGCCTGCAGCGCTCGCGTCTGAGCACGTAGCGGGTCCAAGGTTCTCCGGCAGAAAAGAAAGACAGAGGCCCGGGGCGGGGGGGGGGGTGTGGGAGCCCAGCAGAGGGCCCCGAGCCAGCCGGAGAGAGGCAGTGAAGACCTCCCGAGGGGCTGGTGCCCGCCCCAGGCCCTGAAGCGGGAGTTCATCAGGGCGGACAGCGGGGAGACGGAACAGCGCGTTCGAGGCTGCCCGCGTCGGCAGGGCGGCGCGGGGCCCGAGGGCCTGTACATTCCTCCCTGGCGCTGAGACCGTACTTTGTCCAGAAGACAGCGGTGAGTCACTGAAAGGCTGTAAATACAAGAACAACCTGATGAGATTTACTCTTCAGGGAACTCTTCCTGGCGCGAGGCAGGCTCTCCTGCAGAGGGGGAGCGGGAGGGCGCTGCTAAGAGGCTGCTGCGGGAACCCCGAGAGGACGCTAGCAGGCGCCGGCAGCGGGTGGGCAGATGTCATGAGACAGATGGGCAGCACTTGGGAGGTACAGTGACCGAGTCAGGACTTGGTGATTGAACACGTGCGGGGAGGAGAGAGGTGTCCCCGATGACACCCCAGACTCCCACCGTGGGCTCATGGGGGTGGCAGTGGGGACAAGGGGGGTCGGGTTTGAGGGGAGCTCGGTTGGACCATGCTGAGGCTGAGGGGCCTGTGGCATGTGGTGAGGGGGGTCTGCAGGGCCCTGGCATCCCGGACACCTACTACCTCGTAGGCCCTGGGCTGGGCCCAGAACGGGCGTCTCATCTGCTTGAGGGTTGGAAGATGAAAGCACTGAGGCTCGGAGAGACAGAGGAGCGTGTCCGAGATCCCAGGGCCGGCCAGAACCGGAGCTGGGATCTTTAGTTCGGGTTTCTCTGCTTCCGATCCCGTGGGGTTTGGGCAAGAGGAGAGGTGGGGAGGAGTCGGTTACGGGGAGGGAGGAGCTGGGATGTGCAGAGGTGACTCCTCCGCCCTGTATAGCAACCGTAGTCAGGGCTCCGACTCAGTCCTGGGGAGGGCGAGCGAGGCGAGGGGCCGGCGTGGCCATGTTCATCAGCGCCCGCCCTGCCGCAGGCTGGCGGGCACGGCAACATCTATCAGCGTCCGAGTGCGCACCTGGGGACGTCAATACCAATTAAGGACCCACGGTTCCCTGTTAATGAACATCCGTGCCTCAGCCCCGATGCACGGCTCATTTGCAGGCTGCCCGCCGGGTCCAAGATGGCCTGAGGCCAGCGGGCCAGGCTGTGCTGCTGGCTGGAGCTGCTACTGGTGCGAGGACAGGACTGATTTATCGAGGCATCTGCCAGGTGCCATGTTGTTCCAGCGGCCCGGTCCCAGGGCAGGGGCGAGGCAGGAGCAGGAGGGAGGGTGGTGCGGAGGGGTTGAGGGGCACGGTGCCAGCCTGGAGGGCCTGCGGGTGTTGTGGATGGCGGTGGTGCCGGGGAGGGCGCTGGCCTTGGCACTGGGTGGACCCTCCAGGTCCACTCAGAGGCGGCACAGTGCAGGGGTCAAGGAGCAGACTTGGAGCCACACCGTTGGGTGGACTCCAGCTGCTGCACTTCCTAGCCCTGACCTCTCTGGGCTCCGGTGGGCCGCACGCCCGGGGGGCTCTCTGCCTGGGCCGGGTCCCTGCGGAGGCAGGCTGCCTTGAGCTGCTCACTGCAGCACGTGACGTTTCCAGGGCTCCCCTGGGCAGGTCCTGGGCCCCCGGAGAAGGAGACGTGACTCGCCCACCTCTGCCCCCGGGCCGCGCTGACTGGCAAGTGCTTCTATAGCAAGTGGCGCCCTCGAGGCTCCCAAAGGGGGAGAGTCCCAGGGCTGGCGTGGGCCGGTCCCAGGAATAAGAGGACACTCTGGTCCCTGGTCTTTTGCTTCCC